TGTGTAGGAAACCACCTCTTTACGACCCCCCTCTCCCCTGAATTCGTCAAGCGTTCACAGAAAATGGAATAGGGGTGGGTGTAGACAACAGGCGTCGCATAAATTATCAGAAATAGTACTATTAAGATATCATTTACTGCGATATATTTTATTGAGGACCCTGGAAAAGCAAACAACTTGCCTGAAACGGCGGAAAAATCAACAATTCAAATTTCTTACTCGGTCCCAAAGGATCTTTTTTATAGGGCCATATGCGGCGCACCTCAGGCTGCGTTCACACATTGCGGCAGCGTCCACCAGCGTTCTGAGCGTCCGGCAGCGTCAGCGACTAGGAAAGTATAGATATCGATCTAGCGTCTGCCAGCGTCTACCAGCGTCTACAAGCGTGGGAGTGGAGAGCATAACGCGACAGGAGGGTAGCAGACAGCTGGTACCATTCTATTGCACCATACTCATACCATACCAGGAGTTTGCTACAGGTCTTCTTGGACGCTGGCAGACCCTAGATCGATACCCACACTTCCCTAGCTCTCGAGACGCTGGTGGTCGCTGGTGAACCCTTCCGCAAAATATGAACGCAGCCTTAGCAATTAAGTCCGAACCTTGGTGTAGATTTCACAACGGTGGCGTACATACCGCAGCAAAGAAGGCTCACTTATGCAGTCCGACAAACACGTCGGCAACAGGACACGTCCTGCTGCTGAAGGAATTTTTGCAACATACAACCACCTCCCCTCCAATATTCCCCCTCTGGTACGACTTTACCCCTTCAGTCTAACTTCTTACTGGTTCTTCCCGACGTTCTACCACTACTTCCGAAATTTTCCGTTTTTTCCCCTAGGGGAGACAGTTCAGCGGAAGGCGGTCCCCACCAAACAACTGCCAAATTCTACTGTAGAAAATATGTAGAAGCTGTATAGAACTTTGAGGCGTCACTAGGGGGGGGGGTGTAACACATATGAACTGGAAAAACCATGAAAAGTCAATAACCAGCAAAAGTTCTGCATTGTCAAGAAAAAGTCTCTTCAGAGCAAGATACATCCCCCTCTCAAAGCGACGAGCGAGCGCCACCTTCACCCCTCCCCCTTCCCAGTCTCCCATGGAAATGGATAGTGGGCGCGAAACAGGGAAAATCAACTATCAAGTGAATTTTTCTCAGGCCACCTATGACCCCTCCCCCACCTCTCTCTCCAGCGAGCAAATACGACCTCCCCAACGAGAGTCTCCTTACACTGTGGATGGGGGGCGTGCCCCTCCCCCTCCCCCACCCCTACCCCTTCCCCTCCCCTCCGCCCCAACCGGAGTTCCTTAACGATGTGGATAGTGCGTGTGAAACAGGAAAATCAACTATCAGAAAGATTTTCTCTCAGGCCAACTGTGAGTCTCTCTCCCTCCAGCTACGTAATTTATACCCCCCCTCGCCACCTAATAGGCGTACCCAATGATGTGGATACGACCTCCCGAACCGGCACTCCACAGCGTATGAAGTGCCCTGATTGAAAAGGTA